GTGGGGGGTGGGTTGGTTGCAAAGTCCCTTGGCCTTGAAGGACCAGAAACCTGTTAGTCCCCAAAGGGAGAGTGCCCATCTGTCAGGACCAATCTCATCACCAAGCTCCCAGACTAATGTATGGAATCAGGATTCCAATTAATTTAGAATGAGAATTAAAGTTGCCTTTGAAACACACATGTCCATTTGACCTGCGCATTCACGTCCAAAGGCTTCCGGATCATTGCCCCACTCATCCTTTCCCTTTGCAGGTCTCACTGCTCCCACTTTGTGCCTCTGTTCATTGAGTTTCTTTAGCTTGAATCCCCATTTTCTAGAGCTGCTCATCACCTGCAGCCCGCTTTAAATGCCCCCTTCTCTTCCTTTGAGCCTTGAAATCCAAAATAACCTCGTCCTCAGAACTGTAACAGCACATTGTTCCTTTCACGCTCCTTTCATTTTATCTTTTTATTATAGATATTTGTGTACATGTGTACAGGAGGCCCAAAGACAGTCTCTGTTTTATTGATGTTTGAAACTCTAGAGACCAAGGCGGTCTGCTACAGGTTACAGCTCTCAAACATTTGCTGCACCAGTAAAGGACCTGGTAGTCTTGGGAGGGTCTCAAGTTACAGCCTCCCCGCCTGTCCTACAGGGCGCTCTTCTCTTCCTGTTACCGAATTGTAAATTCCCTGAGGGTAAGTCTAAGTCAGCTTCGCCATCCACTGTGTAGTCGGCACCCGTACAGGGTCCAGCGTATAGCAGATGTTCAGTAAATTTTGCTAAAAGAAAATCTACAAGGGAAGAAGCGAATGAACGAATGAGTGGATGAACGAACTACCCCATTGTTTTTCCGGTGCGTGGGTCCAGTAGGGAATTAGTGAGCCTAGCTCTGATTGGACGACTCTGCCCCCGCTGGACCAACCGAGGGCGCCAGAGCAGGCGGGGCGCCTTGAGGCCCCTCCCACCCGGAGGCGGGGCCTGTGGCGCGCGGGAAGTAGCGCGCGCCAAAGAGCCCTGAATTGAACGCCTCTCTGCAGGTACGGTTTCCGCGGAGCTAGCTCCCGCGTCCCCGTGGGTCTCCAGCCCGGGCCCGGCCGGGTGGCGGCAAGAAGCTCTCTCAGGGCAGGTCGCGGGGGCCCGGGATAGCTCCAGATCGCGCGCGTTTGGGCGGTGGGTTCCCGCCCAGGCCTCTGCCCCGCGTGGCCTCTCAGCTAAGCCCGCTGTTGGCTTCCCTAGCCCAGCGCCCTGTTCCGTGAGGCATGGGAAGGGGGGCCCCCTGCCCCGGGAGGCCACGCCTCTGGGAAGCGGGGTTCCCCCGGGCCCCGACCCTCTGCGGACCCTTTTTCCCCGGTAGCCCCCTCCTCCGCCTTGGCCGCCCGGTCCCTGTGGGGACCACTCCCCCGAACAGCTCCCTCCCACGGGCGGCCGGGCTCCTGGGAAATGTGGGTTTCCCGCGCAGCCCCCTCCCCTGAGGCGCCCGGCTCCTGGTTCTCCAGGCGCGCCCGCCATTCCCCACTAGGCCGGGGCGGTTGCGCAGCCAGCCCCAGCCCCAGCCCCTTTATTTTCTCTGCCCGAGTGTTCCATTTTGCTTTTCCGTAGCAGGAGAACAAACGTAACAGGCGCGGTGTAGCAAAACATTTTAGGTAGAACTCGCAAGGTGTTACGTCCCAGGTCAACGTTAACATCCTTTCCCAGTACAGCGTGTATTTTTAATGTTTAGCAGGGTTCCTGGTTCATAATAAGCGTTGAATGCACCTTTCCTGCTATATTCATTTCCAGCGATTTTCAGCTTGCCTGTCTTTGGAAAAAGAACGGTGCACGAGGAATATTGTTGCCCCTCCAAGGCTCAGCAGGATGAAAGTCATCACTTGTGAAATAGCCTGGCACAACAAGGAGCCTGTGTACAGCCTGGACTTCCAACATGGCGCGGCTGGCAGGATCCACAAACTGGCGTCCGCGGGGGTGGACACCACCGTGAGGGTAAATCGGGTGGAGGTAGAAAGGCACAGAGAAGTACCAGTGAAGCAGCATTCTCCAATCTTTTATTTAAAACTGATGTCACCCAACGCAAACGACTCCCTCATCGAGCCCAGAGGGATAAATTCTCAGGGCCTTGAGTGAACAATGAAAGCAAAAGAAAGCAGCTTTCTTCCTTGGGTAATGTTTCTTAGATTGACGTAACTGGACGCCCATTATTTTGAAATCTGGAGCCAGGTTCCTACTGGAGCAGGGTTTGCACTAGAAAGAGGTACGGAGGGAGGACAGCAGGCAATGGGACAGTGGGGTTGATGTTTCAGAAAGAAATTTCTTCATTTTATATTGCAAAAGAAAAACTAAGTTTTCGCCCTGAAAATAAGCATAGTAGTGTTTTAGTATGCACCGTGTGGTAGGTAGGTGCTCACTATATGTTTCTCTGAATGCATGTTTTGGTACCAACAGATCTGGAAGGTAGAAAAAGGACCAGATGGAAAGGCCATTGTTGAATTTTTGTCCAACCTTGCTCGCCATACCAAAGTCGTCAATGTCGTGCGTTTTTCTCCAAATGGGGAGATTTTAGCATCAGGAGGAGATGGTGAGTATTGTGCTTCAAAATTCTTTAGAAAACACATACCCATGTGTCACATGTTACATAGTGAGATTTGAGCTTATATAGGCTTTTTTATTTTAGAGGTTGCTTGCCTCAATCTATCATTGAGATAGTTTATTAATAGTAAAATAATGTTCTGGGGAACAGGAGTGGGTGGAGGACAAGCTAAACTGAGAAGACCTATTTGAAAATGGTCCCTTTCCCACTGGGCTGGTTTGGAGTCAAGTAGGAAGGTGTTTCCCATTCTGTCAGAGTCCCAAGCTGTCAGAGTCTTGTCCTGGCTTGATTATTAGTTTAGTATATGTAAGTGGTAACAGTCTGTCCCATGTCTCCGTGTAATTAATTAATTGGCGTAGGGGTTATTGTCCAAATAGCCCTGTAAATTGTTTGGTGGAATTAGATTGATTCATACTTTCTGCTTGTGCTTAGATGACATAAAACTTGTTGAACAAACTCAAAAAGAATCTGGAGGCTTTGGCTAGAAATAAATGACAGAGATTTAGTCAAGGGTCTTAGAGTTTCCACACTGGGAACACAGCTAGGCAAAACCCCAGAAGTGTTCCAAAGAGGAAAGAGAAGCGTTCTTATAGTCAAAAGTACATTGTTGAGAATTACCAGTTCTGCGTTATTAGGCCTAGGATTCGTCCAGGACGGTTATTGCTCAGGTGTCAGGCAGCCTGGCTGATGGATGTCAGGTGGTCAAGAGGACGGGCACCGTGAGGTGTGGTCACATCTGCCAGTCTGGTAATGGATGTCTGTGGCCTGGATACGTGACTTTTTCAGTGGGCAATCAGAATGCTATCTGGAGGTCTGGTGTATGTTTGGATGAATATCCAGGTATTGATACAGGACTGGGAAGTTCAAAAAGTTTGAGTTTCCAGGCTAGTTACAAGAATAGTCCTTCCTCATGCCTCAGCCTTCATAACATTAATAATTTTAACAGCTTAAAGGGACTCCATTTGATATATTCCCTATCTTCACTCTTCAGACTATAGAGTAAAAGTTAATGTTTTTACCATGCTTTAACACTAGAACATTCTAGAAGGCAGTACAAAATGAAAACCTCAGATTTTGTTTGCAGGAGGAAAAGAGAGCTGGTTATTAAATTCAGTGCCCTGATGTCCTGAGAGCGTGTATGGAGAGGGGAAAGGTGGTGAGTGGGGACCACCACCTGGGGAGGCTGGCAGGCTGTCTCCTGTGAGGTTGCACAGGGCAGCACTAGTTTTGCAAAGTCCTTTGGCCTCGGAGGCCCAGAAACTTGCTGTTAGTCAGCATGTGGAGAGTGTCCATCTGTTGGGGCCAGTCTCCTCTCAGCCAAGCTCCCAGGATTCCAATTAATTCAGAATGAGACCGCAGGTGTCCGCACAACCATCTCATTCACTCCCCTCCTGCAGGCATTTCTCAAAGGGAAGGCGGTCATGGTCAGGTTTTGTGGTGAGAGTGGAGTCAGAACGTGGGAGTCAAGGACTCAGACAATTGATGACATCGGGCTAAGGTATCTGATGTGTCCGTAATCTTTTAACAGCTGACACATATGTGGGCTCTCCGTGTACCAGGCCTCCTGTTGTAAGTGCTTGATGCATATTAACTCATTTTATCCTCAAACAGCTCTCTGAGGTAGGTATACTGTTATTATCCCCATTTTACAGGTGAGGACACTGAGGTATCAAGTGACTTGCTAAGTTAACAGCTAGGAACGTTTTGCCACCTCTTGTGTTGGTGGCCCTTGGCTGTTGTTTTTTTCCTATTCAGTCATTTACAGGTTATGCCTTTAGATTTGTTAAGGTAGTCAGTCACTCCGCAGTGGTGTTTTGTTGGCCTTGAACCCTTCTGTTTAAGGTGACTTTGTATAGCTCTGATCTGGTATGGGTTTGATTTTGGAGTTTTTGTTCAGAAGGCAAACCTGTTTTTCTTGTCCACATTCTGAGAAGTGAATCGTTGTGGCCGAAGTGCCTACTGAACAACATAAATATTGCTTATTGCCCTAAAAATCCAGAAGTGAAGGGGTGTGCAATAAAGCATGGCTTATTTTTTTTAATTGTCATTTTATAGCTCCCCATTTGTATCCACCCCCACCTTTCCCTTCGCTGACCACTTGCGCAGGTTCCAGGGGACCAGGGAACAAAGCTGGGGCCTGGCACCCCCACCAAGCTTCCATTCCCACCCCAGAGAAGTCACAATTACAAATTGTCACGACACTTAGCGCCTGTACTTGGCAGGTGGGCCAAGTGGGGAGGCCCAGCTCCTCCCTGTCAGCTGGTCTATTTGCCGATGACCGTGGCTGTGGAAGTGATGATATTCCTTCAGAAGCACCACTTACCTTTAATTGAATCACCCCACAGATGCCATCATTCTGCTGTGGAAGGTGAATGATAACAAGGAGCCAGAGCAGATTGCTTTTCAGGATGAGGACGAGGCTCAGCTGAATAAGGAGAACTGGACCGTGGTGAAAACCCTGAGGTAACCCCGGGAGGGACCATGGGAGTGGGTCATTACCGCCTCCGTGCATTCAGCTGATAGGCACTTTGACTTTTATATCTCACTTGAAACTTTTACTTATGCAAGACAGAAATAAGAGAATAGTTTTAAAAGATAAAAGCATGATTAAAATGGATTTTCTTAGTTTTGCTATAAAATTTCTCTTAGTAAAATTGAGTCAGTTTTAAAGCTACAACTATCCTTGAAGGTAGTAGATTGTAGCTATAGCTAATAAAGATCCAGTGGAACTTTCTAAAATCCCATTCTAATGTGTGGTCTGGTCCCTGAGTTTGCCTTTACATTTTTGATAGTTTTTCTCTCCTTTCTCCCCTCTCTTTCCTCTTTCGATCCTAGGGGCCACCTAGAAGATGTGTATGATATTTGCTGGGCATCTGATGGGAATTTCATGGCTTCTGCCTCCGTAGATAACACGGCCATCATATGGGATGTCAGTAAAGGTAGCTATATGTTTTTGTTGTTATCAGGGGAAGGAATATTCTAAGTGTCTAAAAAGCCTGCCCTGCGTTGTCTTTAAAGGAGTGAGAAGAGTTTCTTTAGTGACCTAAAAATGGGTGTTTGGCACAACAGGTTAGGGATTCGTCCACATGCCGCTATCCAGCTCAGTTTTAGGGTCCCAGGCAGAGTGTATGAGGCTTAGCCGTGGTGTCCTGAGTTCCTGGTGCCAGAGCAGGGTGGGTCTCCCTGGCCTGGGGATGTGTCTATGACAGGGACAGGGCTGACCCCGGCCTTTGTGGAGCTTGGGATCTTGGGACGATCGGAAGGTCATAACTAATGGGGCACTGAAGTCTCCATGTCCGGGTGGTGGGATCAGCTTTCCATTTTCGGAGATCAAGGAAAGCCAGGCACATGTCGCTGCTTTTCGCGAGCCTGCTCTCTAGCTGGGGAGATGTAGACCCTGAGAAGTTACAGTGTTAAAAGAGCATGAAGTGCCAGAGGCCAGCCGTGCTGATGCTCAACCCTGCAGGCCGTACTCCCTCAGCTCCACGTTTTCTCCCAGCCTCTTCCTCTGCTGTCTTCCGTAGGACAGGCTTCTGATTCTCCCACAAGCCAGGTGCCCTAGTGGGGCCCCTGTCGCCCCGAGCGTCAGTCCCGTTTTCATCCTCTCTGTAAAAGCCTGTTCTTTGAGCACCGTCCTGTCCAGCTAAAGCATCCTCCATCTTGCCTCATCTCCGTCACGCTCTTTCTGATTAGTCCCCGACATTCGGCAGAATGGAGGATCGGTGTCACTGTCTTCTCGTCCCCAAATCTGGCCGTTGTCCTGGATCATTTTCGTGTCTTTGGACAGTCCGTCCAGCACCCCCCCGAAGCCAGCTGTAATGACCTGGAACATGGCCAGCGTGCTGGGCACTATTGCAGGCGCTGGGAACATATACGGGTGGCTACATTCTGACAGACAAAGACACCAACGGGTATGATGTCCGGTAGTGATAGCTGCTGCGATGGGGCGGGAGAGTGACAGGGTGATCAGGGAAGGCTCTCTGAGCACGTGGTCTTTGAACAGAGACCTGAATGAAGTTGGGGAGCAAGCCGTGCGCATTATTTTGGGGAAGAGCTTTCCAGCCAGTTGGAAGAGCAAAGGCAGAGGCCCTGCACGGGAAGAATGGATAGCGAACAGAAGAGGGGGGGGAGATGCTGAGGATGGGGGCGGCAGGCCACAGGGGGTTGTAGACCATGGGAAGGGTTTCTCGTTGTGTCCCAAGTGTAACATGTGCTGCTGAAGGGTTTTGAGCAGGAGAGTAGCTGGATTATATTTATGTTTTAAAAAAGATGTTTGTGGGTGGCACGTAGTAAATTGATCCTAGGAGAACACAAGCGCTAGCAAGGGAACCTGTTAGTGGTACAGGATCTTAGGAGTAATTCAGGAGAGAGCTGATAATGGCTTGGGCCAGGGTGCTGGTGATGGACGGGGTGAGAAAGGGTTTGGTTGGGATATAATTTGAAGAAAGCTGACAGGATTTGATGCATTGGCTGTAACTCCAAGCTTTTTGACGACCAGGTGGATAACGGTGCCATTTCCTGAGACGGGACGCTGGGGGAAGGAGCAGTTTCGGCAGGGAGTGTGGAGATCAGGCCTTAAAGCGCTGCCTTTTTTTTTTTTTTTTTTTGTAAAGGGTTTTTCTTTTATTATGTGTAACAGGCAAAATTATTTAAAGCCAATAAATTTTTATTTAAGGAATTCCACATGTTGTGATTCCTTTTACTGCCAATCACCTTAGTTCCTCCAAAGTTTGAGTCAAAATCTTAAAGAGAGCACTTTTCAAAAGAACGTTTGCTTAATCCGCAGTTGTCATGTCGTGTCAGTCCACAGTTCTTTCACCCCACAGCTCTGGGCGTCTTCAAAGACCTCTGTCATTTAACTGCCCTGTCAGTGACACCTTAAGCCAAGTGTTTCACTTGCCCATCAGAACCATCTCCGTTAGTTCGCTCACACCTTTACTTTCTGCTCTTTTTCTTCCTAGAGCTTTCAGGTCCGCCGAGCCCTCCGGTTCCTGGTCTGGGAGCCCTTTTTGTCCTCTGCTATTTTCTCTGTCCCGCTTGCTCCCCAAGGTGATCATTTATGAACACCATCCACCCCCACAGTCCTTTTTCTGTCCATCTTACCCACCAGGACAGCCCCCAACCCGGGATCGTGTTCCGGCCTCCTTCAGTTCCCTGGTCAGACTGAGCAGCTGGTTATAAACCTGCCACCGCAGTCTGGGCCAGTGCAGACGCACTCTCACCAGCCTCAGGTGGGGTCCCAGGGTCCCCCACCCCCTTTCACTTGGAGGTCAGTCCCCTCCTCTTCTCCCCAGTAGCTCCCCAAACCACTCCAGGTCTCCATAAGCCCTCTTCACCCCCAGCCACCTTCATCTCAGCAGACTCCCTGAAAAGCGTTTCAAGAAGGAGAGGGGGCAGGCAAGCTTGCCCCAAACCGATGTACCATGGAGCAGTTTTAGCAGGAGTGGGAGTGGAAGCCAGGGCGGAGGGCGGAGTGGATGGGAGGGGAGAAAGGTGGGAGAGAGTGAAAGCTAACCATTCTTCAGAGAAGAGGTTCTTTTTTATTTATTTTTTAAGAATGGTCAAGGCTTCATAACTCCCGTCTCTTTTTATTCAGGTAATGTTTATGTGCTCCTGGTTTTTCCTTCTAACTGTTTCTCCCAAAGTCCCTTGTCCATCCATTCCTATTAGCACTGTGCTGGTTCGGTTCCTGATCTTACCCGGCTACTCCCACCTCCTGACTAGTAGCACTTTCTAGGCTGTTTTCAAACACCTGGGCTTCATCCTCATAATCAACTCGCGTCCTCTGAGCCGCACCGTCAACACCCAGCGCCTTCTCCTTGTCCGCAGCGTTTCTGTCGCATACCTCCTCTCCCCCTCACCTTGCCGTGTTGGCTTCTCCCCTTACCCACTAGCTGTTCTCAGTTACTGTCATTGCGCCAAATGCCTCAGCTGGCTTTTCCCCCGTGGGCTTGCTTAGAACACCTTCTACCCCCTTCACTGGCCTTCATCCTGCCTGACCTGAAGAACCGGGCTCCCCTGGTCTCCGTGACCCTCACCTGCTGCTTTGTTAGCTGTCCCCTGTATCATAAGCTCACTCTCCATCATGCGGCAGTGTGCCTGCCTGTCCGTGGGTCTGTCTCTACCATTGAGATGTGAGTACCTTAGCAGTGGGGGCTGTGTAATGTCGTCTTTCTGTCCCCAGAGCCTGACGCAGAGCTTGGTGCAGTCTCAGCTACCACCAGCTGAATGACGGGACGGTACAAAGACAGTAACACTTAAATTGTAGTGTGCATCATTCGTGCTTGAGGAGGTTTTCGTAATGCTGTTGTGTGCTTTTTTTCTCTAGGACAAAAGGTCTCAATCTTTAATGAACATAAAAGTTACGTACAAGGAGTAGCCTGGGATCCTTTGGGTCAGTATGTTGCTACCTTGAGCTGTGACAGGTGCGTTAGTATTGGGCAAATTGTCTTTATATCTATTTACTTGAAATTTTCTGCAGAAGTATGTTATCACAACTTAACCATCATAAACCATACTCTCACTTTGATTCTTTTGTTCTTGATTTCATATAAAGCATTTTGTTGTTATTCTTACAACATAAGAAAAATTAGAAACTCGTTAGGGTAAGTGTCTTACATGAAGTTAGTACTTAGTAAATCTTTATTGAATGGGCGAATGAATGCAGAAAGAGCTTTGAATTAAATTTAAATTTCATGGGCAACTTTTAAAGAAAAGTCTTGTATAAGTATGATGTAAGCAATCAAAGTACCTAGTGATAAGGTTGGACTATTTATTTTATTTTTTTAAAGATTGTATTGGGGAAGGAGAGCAGTCAAGTTGTCCTTCAGTCTTAGTTGTGGAGGGCGTAGCTAGCTCAGCTCCAAGTCCAGTCGCCATCTGGCTGCCCATGGGCAGCTTGTGGCCGCTCAGCTCAAGGTGCTGTGTTCAGTCTTAGCTGCGGGTGGGCGTGGCCCACCATCCCATGTGGGAGTCAACCTGGCAGCCTTGTTGTTAGGAGTATGTGCTCTCACCAGCTGAGCCATCCTACCACCTGTTGGCAGCTCAGTAGCAGCTCAGCTCAGGCCCAGCTCACTGGCCCATGTGGGAATCGAACTGGTGACCCTGTTGCTCAGAGCTTGTGCTCTTAACCAACTGAGCCACTCAGCCAGCCCCTATTTCATTTTTTGATTACAATTTACTAATACATGATTTTTAATGCCTCCATTTAAATTAATATAAAGTCTTTTGTTCCTTTTGAAAGGAGGACTTAACTGCTGTGTGTACTGGTATTGCATTTAATTGTGTTCTTGGAACAAGGAATTAAAAAAGTATATCAGAGGTGTAAGGCATATTACTCATCAGTCAAAATAGTCCTTTTGAATATTTATTGAACTACTTTTAATTAGAGGAAGTTTAATTTCAGATGGCCCTGGAATGAAAGCAAGATGGAAGAGTTAGTGTGTATTTTTCATAAACTCCTGTTACTATCCCAAATGTTATTATTTTCTGAAATATGTTTTTTATTGAGGCCATCAGGAGTGAAAGAGTCTGATTAGTTAGTGGGAGTGATAGGAGTTACCAGCAGCCAAAGTTACCTGATGGTGTTTTCGTTACTCTTACAAGTCTCTGAGGACTAGACTGTTCAACACAAAATAAAAAGTAAACTTCAGCACAGTCACACAAATTGCCACTGGGCTAGGCGTCTAAGACCTGAAAAACAAGGCCAAGCCTAAAGTACATATTATTTGAGAAGTTGAAACATTCAATAAAAAGATGAAATGATGACATATTTCTCCACTTCATTAGTGATACCTTTTTCGGTGTTAATACTTGCTTCTGTCATCATTACTCAGTTAAGTGGGAAAGTCGTTGGAAAATGGTTTTGCCGGCCAAAAATTATTTAAGCCATCTTCAGTTTTGTTAGTGGATTGTTTCTGTGGGAAACAGAATTCATTTACTAGAAGAGATAAATCTGACGTTTCTTCTTTATTTAGGATCCTGAGGGTGTACAGCATCCAGAAGAAACGTGTGGCTTTTAATATTTCGAAGATGCTGCCTGGAGTAGGGGCTGAAGGGGAGGTATGAAATATTTTGATATTCCATTGTAGCCGTACTTTAGTTGAGATTTAGGAAGCCGTGAACGCCTCCACCTTTTTTTTTTTTTATAGACTTGCTCCCTTGTGCCTAAGTGCTAAATCACTGTGTCAAGGACCCGACACCCGAACCACAGTGAGATTTCCTCTCTGACAGTCAGGGCCCAGTTAGTGTGGTCTGTTTGGAAATGGAGACATCTGGGGGCTGGGGGAGAGCTGATGGTGGGGGATAGTGGTTTCCTAATCTGGCTGCACTGTAGAGTGATGTGGGAAGCATGAAAAACTATGAGGCCCAGGCCCCACTCCTGAGCCATGATTCGCGTGGCTTGAGGTGGGCAGGGCCTCTGGGATTCCAAAGTGTAGTGAGGGTCGAGTGCTGCCGACCTAGGAGGATCCTAGCACCATGCACAGGAAGGAGGCGTGTCAGTCCTCCAGCAACAGGCGGTGGATGGTAGATGGAGAACTCCAGTAGCAGGTAGCAGGGACCCAGCCGCTGTTCTGGCATTCAGAAATAGGAAGGATTTTGATCTTAGCAAGAACTGGCGAATGAAAATAGGACCCTGGTCCTGGAGTAATCAAGACTAAGAGGCAGGCACTTAGGCACAAGGGAGCAAGTCTATAAAAAAAAAAAAAAGGCGGCAGGCAAAGGCTGTGTGGGCCGTGAGCTGGCTGGTGCTGCGAGGGCACATGCTTTGTAATGTGAGGACAAATGCTTCCTTGGATTCTTGAGAATTCAAGTCTTCATGTTCGTAAAGTGTTGGTGAATGGTAGCAAAAACTTTCACACGGATGGGCAAGACATGTTTGATATGGTTAGCAGTTTAATGATCAACTATATTTTTTTTAAAGAAGTATTCATTCGGTTGGAAATTCTAAATGTACGCACACAGATCACAAGCAAAGGACGCCTAGTTGCCTCCCCGCTTGCTTGCAGCCTCATCCCCACACTAACCACTGTTGACGGTGTGGTGTGTTTACCCAGAGGTGTTTTTAAAATTGATCGAAGAACCACGCAAACACATAAGCTTTCCTTAACTAAAAGATGATGCGTTCACAACTGATGACTCTTGCAGACCTGCATGATTATTTGATTTGTAATGTATTTCAGTTTCATTTATTATTATATCAATAATAAATGGTAACACGTAAAAAAAAATATCTAGGAAGTGGTAAGCCTTTATTGTGAATGGAAAGATTTGGAATAATGTTTGAACTTTGTGCCACAGGCAAGAAGTTACCGGATGTTTCATGACGACAGCATGAAGTCGTTCTTTCGCAGACTCAGCTTTACTCCTGACGGGTCTTTGCTCCTCGCACCAGGTGTGTTTCACAAAGCCCAGGGCCTTGCCAGGACACAGGCCGGAGGGTTGTCTCCTCTTATTACCTCCAGAATGAGTGCCAATATCAGATGTAATGTGTGGATATAGGACAAAGGCAAAAATAAGAATAGAAATAAAATAAGAGAGGAGAACTGAGGAAGGGAGAGGAAAAGAAAAAAAATGCATCAATGCTATCCACGTTAACTTTTGTGAGCAGTTGGCTAAGAAAAGCAAAATAAGAAAAAGTCTAAATAATACTCCATTTTGTAAAATAAACTAAAAAACCCACCATATGCATATATATGCAATTCAGTTATAACTGGTTGTAATGATTCTGTGAGCACGGAGGAAATATAGAAATGACATAACGGTACGTCAGCGTGGATGCTTAGGGGTGGACGGATGGGGCGAGATGGGGACAGAGTAGGAAGACTACTGATACTGTCCGCTGCCCTTCCCAGTAGATACGAAATGGTCACGTGTAAGTTTATATATGTGTATATGCAGCAAGAAATGTCAACGTAAGACGGGGAGCTGTCCCCAAGAGCAACTGTGTTTGACAGTCCTTCTCTGACAGGGTCTGACCTGGTTTTAAGTACATCCCGGGGTGAGTGGAGAAGAGCTCTCAAGTATGGGCTACTGCCCAGAGCAAAGTCAGCTTCCGCAGGGGCTGGAGATTTGGGCAGAGGGTCAGGTCTCCTGGCTCCATCAGGCAGATGGGAAAAGGCCTGAATCTCAGTCTCTGGATGACAACCGAGGTCAGAATCCAGGGGACAGAACGGGGGATATAGTCCCAGCGCTTCAGCTGGATTCTCAGACAAAGGTCTTCTGTAGCTGGGGTTCCCGTTTTAAATTCTTCCTGCCCAGATCCAGAAGTGGGTCCGGGGGCAGCCCAGCCCCTCAGGTGAGATGACACTCGGGTGAGATGACAGGTGGGCAGAACCAGAGTAAGGGCTGAGCCCAGACACTGTGCTTGTATTGTCCTCAGTCACAAAAACGTTGCCCAGGGGATACACATCTTTTGGGGGAAATTATTATACAGACCAGATGGGATGCTTCAGAGTTTTTGCTGGTGAACAGGTTAATAAAACACCGCCTTTCCTTCCTCGCCCTCTTTCCTGCTTCCCCAGCCGGATGCGTGGAATCTGGTGAAAATGTAACGAACACAACTTATATTTTCTCCAGGAAAAACCTTAAGAGGTATGCCATTGAAGAACTATTTGAAACATTTACACTTTTTGCTTTTGTTGAGTGACGATGCCTTTTTCTAAAACTATGATTAATCTTTAGGCCTATTGCTCACCTCCCGTGTCCGGGGAAAGCGACACTTGCTGTCCGCTGCTGTCCCGTCTACTTTGAGTTGAGGCCGGTGATGGAAACAGGTACCTCAGGTCCGCAGAGGCTGTGTTAGGGTTTCTCTCTGAGGCAGGTCACCAGCGTGGGGTGGTGATTTGAATTTTATCTTGTGGGGAAAGATGAGTATGTGGGTTTGGTCCAGTTTAGTTACCCTTTAGAGCTGGAGCAAAGGCTGATGTGACCCAAATATGTCAGTTGTTTGCATTGTCCAGAACTCACTTTCTTTGTTTAAAGCAACTTTAAAGGAATGAAACAGGTTGAATGTCATTCATTATCAATTTTTTCTGCAGTAAAATTATGTATGAATTGGATTTTTCTTTGTTTTTTAACTTTACTCCAAATTTGGGGGATTTCGGCCATTATTTCTTCAAGTGTTTCTTTGTCATCCCCTCTCCTCTTCTTCAGAGGCCTCAACTATATGTGTGTTAGGCCATTTGCAGTTATCCCACAGATGACTGCTTTCCCTGTTTACTTGTTCTTTTTTCTCTCAGTGTTTTGTGTTTTTTTTTTAAGATTTTTATTGGGGAATTGGGGGGATGGGAACAGTGCTGGGGAATTGGGGGAAGGGGAGCAGACAAGTTGCTGTCCTTTTGTTCTTCAGTCTAGTTGTGGAGGACGTTGCTTCACTGGCCCAAGTTGGCACCATCATTGCGCTCTTCCCGGGCGAGGCAGATCAGTCGCCGGCTTCTGGACGGCCGCTCACTGCGGCTGCTGGCCCCTCACGCTGGCTGCTGGCTACACACGGTAGCCCATGGCAACCCACTGCCACAGGGGCTGCAGCCTACGCCGTCGCCGGCGACTCACGGCAGCCCAGCTCCAGGTTGAGCCGTTGTTCAGCATCTTAGCTGTAAAGGGCAGTGTCACTGGCCCTCATATGTGGGATCCGAACCGGGGCCCTCTGGCATCCCAAGCCAGTTCTTAACCATCGCGCCACTCGGCCAGCCCTCTCTCAGTGTTTTATTTTGGATAGTTCTGTGGCTGTGTTTTGAGTTCACTGATCTGTGTAATCTGCCCTTGGTGCCATCCAGTGTACTTTTCATCTGTGACATCGTAGTTTTCATCTCTAGAAGTTCTTTTTGGGTCTTTCTTATATATTCCATGTCTCTACTTAACATGCTCCATCTTTCGTCTTGCTTCTTGAACACACGGAATACAGTTTTTATCATAACTCATGTCGTCATGTACAAAAGGTTGGTTTTGATTTTTTTTTCTCATTGTGGATCATATTTTCCTGCTGCTCTGCATGCCCTGTAATTTTTTATTAGGTGCCAGACATTGTGAATTTTACCTTAGTGGTTCCTGGGTATACTTTTTTTTTTTTTTAATTTTATTGGGGAACAGCCATGGTCATTGGTTACACATTGCTTTCATGCTACAATGGCATAGTTGACTCTTTTAAGGAGGGCACAGCTCACAGTGGCCCATGCGGGGATCGAACTGGCAACCTTGGTGTTATCAGCACCACGCTCTAATAAACTGAGCTAACCGATCACCCCCTATGCTTTTTAGTTTTACAGAGATTTTTGAGCTTTATTCTGGGATGCAGTGAAGTTACCGGGAAACATTCTGCTTCCTACGGGCCCTGCAGTTTAAGCTTTGTTATGTGGATCACAAAGTCGAGGGTGAATTACCCCACTGCTGAGGTTCAGTCCTCAGTGTCACTGATGCCCGTGAAGCCAGAGCTGTCCCACTCTGGCTGGTGTGAGCTTCCGGGATTGCTCTTTCTTTCCCGCCGTTCTGCTTCAGACCTCGGGTCAGACCGCAGGTCATTCCCTCGCACATGCTCTGAGCGGTCAGTGTGCACCCGAAGACGAGAGCGCCCCTGCAGGTCTGCAGCTCTCCCTCCCGTCTCCGCTCCTCCATCCCGTGAGCCCGGGCGGCCGTGGCCAACCAGGACTCCCAGTTCTGTCCTGTCAGCGCAGGGCATCTGCTGGGCGCCGCGGGGCTCCGCCACCTCTGCGGGGCCTGGAAACTCCCGGCAGTGAGCTGGGGCGATGCGCACTGAAGCTCTCTTGCTTCCCGTCGCTCGGGGATCAACTCCCTTCATTGCCCGATGCTCAGTGTTTGAAAAAATCAGGACAAATTGAGCCTGTGTCGCTCCGTGGCTGGAAGCAGACACTGTTTTTAACTTTCTAATCCTTTATGTGAATGAATAAATTAACTTGAAAGAGCATCAGAACATTGCTTTATAAAAGGTTTCTATGGGACCCTTATTTTTCCTTGTAAGAAAGTGACCCCTCAGATTGATTTGCCCTGTTCACACCACAGCACCCCTCCCCCGCCTTCTGTTTGGACCTCGGGTGCCCATGATTCTTGGGTCTTGACACCGTGTCCTCATTGGTTCATCCGTGGTTCTCCTTTATTCATACATTTATATGTAAAATAAAGAACTGAATTCTTTCCTGAAGCAGACAGCAAACTAGTCGTAAAAGTGTGCCATGTTTGTCCTCTGGGAGAGGGCTTTGAGGGGTGGATTTGTAACTGGTTTCCTTCGGGCACTTGGCTTTTGCTTGTCTTACTGTCCTCCCTTTGTCCCTGTTCCCCACCCCCACAGAAGGACCATCAGGACAGCTGGTGCCGCTGCCCTATCGCCTGGTGTTTGCTGTGGCTTCTGAGGACTCGGTGCTCTTTTACGACACCCAGCAGCTCTTCCCTTTTGGTTACGTGTCTAACATACATTACCACACCCTGAGTGACATTTCCTGGTGAGTGGCTGGTGATGAGGGAAGGCGGATGGAGGAGGCACAGTGTATGTTACCTTGGAGTGGACCCTTGGGTCTGGGAGCATTTCATTACTACAGAGGACTGTTTTACCCCTTATTTACATTGTTTTTTAAAGGAATCAAAATTAAAAAGAAAGCCATTTTTAATTTGCTACAGTACCACTTCCGGTTGTAACATCAGTGGGTGTTAGTGTCACTTAGATTACCCTGTGGGGTTAATGTAATTCTCATAAACTCACGAGAGGCCCGGGTTGTTTGGGGACTTACCAGGCTGCCCCGGGGAAGCCCACCCCTGGGAGCCCTCACTGCCCAGAACCGTGACTGTCCCGAGGTCCACTTTGTACTCTGCTTTCCACTTGAGGTCCTCAGCCCCTCATTACTTGCTCCAGCCCCCCTTCCCTTCCCCCGCCCCTGCCCGCTGGGGCCCAGCTCGAACTCCGGCCAAGGCCTAGCCATGCCATCCATTTCTTACTCTTTATAAGTCTTTTTTCCTGCTTTCAGTTTTCTTTTTTTATCTTGGAATAAAAAGGTCATCTCACCTTTATTTAGGTGCATTCGATGACAGTGCAGAAACATCGTAGCGCCGTGCCGTAGAGAATCACGGCGGGCTTGGGGAAGGAGAGGCATGAGGAAAGAGGTCGCACAGACCCCGCCTTAGTCATGTGTTTTTTGCCTTCAAACAAAGCTTGTGACTTTGCTTGAACTTCCTTTTTCTAACTAGTAGTGAGAGCACGAAGAGTGGCCCCTAGACTTTGGGGAAGTTGCTAACTTTTTCTCCTGTTTTGGGAACAAAGGTCCAGCGATGGGGCCTTCCTGGCCATTTCTTCCACGGATGGCTATTGTTCATTCGTGACATTTGAGAAGGATGAACTTGGAATACCTTTGAAAGAAAAGCCAGATTTGAGTGAGAAAACTCCTGACACAGCAAAGAAAACTAAAAGTCAGACACACCAAGGGTCTCTGCCAGGACCCAGACTGGCAGAGGGAACACCCACCAGCAGAATCCAAGACCCCAGCAGTTCCTGTACGACCCCCACTCAGGCGAAACCGTCTCCAGCCCTGACAGCGGCCAAGGACACGGCCCCGACTGCTGCTGCCGCCAGAAGCTCGGTGCCCGGGCCTTCGGAGGACAAAGCCCTGCAGCCCGGCAGTCAGCACCCGAAAGGCCCCCCGTCCCGGAGGGTCACGCTGAACACACTGCAGGCCTGGAGCAAGACGACACCCCGGTAAGGACTCCCGATGGAAGAAGAGATGGGCAGTGCCATTGAAACACAAAATACAAACCAAAAGGCCCCACCCATTAGCAGGTGAAATTCCACACAGCGCACATTTCATACGGCTGCCAGAGAGGGTTCCTGACCTCACGCCTGAGAGTGCCACTTCCTTGCTCGGAGACTCTGGGGCTCCCTGTTTCCTACCTGTCGGGTGAGGGCCAGACTCCTGTGCGTGGCACGTGTACAGGTGTGGTTCCCTCACCGTCCAGGACTGTTGGCACTCGCCCCGTGCCTTCATCTCCTCCAACTCTGAAAGTCAGGGTTCCTGAGCACACTCTGCCCTTGGAAGCCTCTGCCCTGACCTTCCTCTGGGAAGGCCTGGACATCTGCTCCCCTTGGTGACACTAGAGTCCTGAAAGGCCCACTTTGGATGTCCCATCAGCCCTTTTCTCTGTTACAACACATCACATTCAGTTGCAGGGGTTTCATATGTGCCTCTGTTTTCCCTGTTAGATTCCAAGCCCCTTCAGGTAGGAATTGTGTCCCCTTCTTCACCTAGAACCATCATGGGCACTTTACAGTAGGCAGGAAATCAAAGGAACACCATGAGGCGGTGTTTGCCGTGTCCAGCAGACTGCCTCCTGGTGAATAGTACATCTGGTCTGATGACATATAGTCTCCAGGTGACGGTCAGATGTTTGCCCTCGGCTCACGGCAGTCTGGCTGGTGAACATGCTGCAGACAGAGCCACTTACAGTCCTCTGTCACCCAGAGCCACCAGGTTTCTTTCCGACACTGAGGGAAGTTACCTCTGGCCCTGGGTGCTGCCTTCACCAATCCCCTGCCTCCTGCCCTTCCAGATAAACTGCACTGGGAGGGGCCAGGGCTGGGGGCCCCCAGCGGGAAGGGGTGGCAGTGACAAAGATGATAGAAGCTCTGTGTCTTACTCTGCTGTGTTCACATGACTTTATTGCAGACTCATATATGGGTTAGTGGGAGTCTTGGCTCTTTTTTTTTTTTTTTTACCTGAGCCATCCTGCCACCTGTTGGCAGCTCAGCAGCAGCTCAGCTCGGGCCAGGAATTGAACCGCTGTTGCTCAGAGCTCGCATTCTTGAGCGAGCTCTTAACCAACTGAGCTACTTGGCTGGCCCTCTCGGCTCTTTTTGAATCTGATATCTTTCTGCAGGCTAGCAGTTTTTTTTTTTCTATTTGTTTTTAAGTGGGGGAAGGGAGTGGGAAGGTGTTCTTTAAAATGTTTTTGGTGTTCAAGTTTTTCCCCTCAAATTTCTTGCAAGCTTCTTGCAGTTGTAGTTTTTAAAATAACAGTTGTTGAAAATTAAAACTGGATTTAAAAAGGAATCATCTATGTTTTGGAGCTTTCCGTGGTAGACACCATGTCTGATAGCCGTACATATGCATCACCTAGCAGGGTGTTCTGATGGCACTGATGATTAGCAGAACACGAGCTTTGAAAATTTTAGATAACTGGGTAAGGTATAAGTTGACTATTATGATGATTTGACTTAACACATGAACATAATCCTTAGTTACTAAATAAGTGGGCACATCAACATATCTCATGCCTTGGGTGATGTGATCAGTTGCAAATTTTAAATGTTTCCTTTGGGTAGTTGTGAACTTTGGTATCATACATAAACAGTTCCTACAGCACTAATTCACCATGTACCCCTTCTTTTAATCAAGGAGAATAAGCTTAATACCCTTAAAGACAGATACTCCACTGAATTCTGCACCAACCAGTGTGATTTCCACCTCTTCCACAGAAGAAATTCAATCAGGTAAGTGATACTGTTACTAGTTTAATATAATTAAAGAGGTTATCTTCTCTTTTGCTCTTTTGGAAATTATCACCCCCTAATTTTAAGTTCAGTTCTGAGAAAGCAAGGAAACGTCTTACTAGATTCATCATCTGAGCTCGCTGGCTGCCTGTTGGTTCTCCGCAGGGAGCCCACCTCCTGTGAAAGCACTATGGCTGGTGGTGCAGGCAGGAGATGGCGTCAGTCAGGCTTCTCAGCCTTGGCTCTGCTGACATTCTGGGCCGGGCCATTCGTTGTTTTGGGGGCCGTCCTGTGATTGTGGGATGTTTATATGTTGGTACCCACATGCCCTATTCGTGACGTTCTAAAATGTCACCAGCCATTGCCCACTGTCCCTTGGGAGGCAAAATCGCCCCTTGTTGGGACCCACTGGTATGGGTCCTTCCACTTACGTGCATATGGGACCTTGCCAGACAGTCTAGTTCCTTGTCTGGGCACAAAATTTATTTTGTAAACGTCAGCTCTTAACTACAAGAAGCCTTCACTTGTTTCACAACCTCGTGTTTGTTAATGTTTCAGAGGTGCCTGGAAACCCTCAAAGCAGTCCTCCGGAACTAAAGCGACCCAAACTCGGTGAAAACGAAGGAAATACCCAAGGTCTGGACCCTTGATGAGACCTGTCTTGTGCTTGAAGGCTACCAGGTCTGGGGACCCCCAGCTGCACAGGGAAGGGGCTACCTAGGCTGAAGACCCCTGAGACCAGGGCCATCAGAAGGAGCCTGTTGGACACTAGTAAATTGATTTCTGTAACATATACACAAACCGGTTCTTCTCCAGAAATACGTTTGCTCTGTGGTCAGTATATAATTTACCTCGGAGATGTGAACGTTGCAATAGACAAAATCCTCTTTTTGATGAGTTTCTGAAACTGGAGCCTGGTGTGGAAATCAGTCAGCCCTCCCTGACATACTTCTGTGAAAGGACAGACACTTTGTGGGTGGACTCCTAAAGTTGGAATTGGAAAGTAATTTGTGAAGGTTTCTTCTGTCGAATTTTAGAATGTTTGAATGGTTATTAGATTTAGCTTCTAAATAGTTGATTCATTTTTGGAATTTTATTATATTTGCTTTCTGATTTTAAAGGTAATAATGCTCCTAGTAAGTTAGTAAACTAGAGTAAAGTAGAGAAAGGGGGTTGGAGGTGGAGCTCCCCATCATCACACCCCCAGACGGAAGGAACCCTTGTTACTGTTTTGGCGTATTTCCTTCACATTTTTATTCTGTTTTGTTGTCTTTTTCTTTTTAGGGAGAATTGAGATTTTCCTTTAGGTACAATTTGGTATCCCAAGTAGGTTAACTGTTTAGATTGATTTTTTTAAAGCAAAAAATATCAACGTAACAATGTACGCCTCTGCCTTTGCTTTCTCCGTCCCTCAGAGGACGATGGCCTGTTCTCTGTTTCTTTTGGGAAGGGCTCTGAAGTGCGGTTGTAGCTCCAAGGGGCAGTCGCTCGTGAAGTCTTCTCAGCTCAGGAGACGCTGGGTGGGGGGGCTTGTGTGGCCACTGGGTGGAACCCCAGCTTCGAAGCTGACACTGCTGCTTCACATTGAGAAGAGGTGTTACAGCTCAATGTCATAATGCTTGATGGCTGTCACTTTGACATAATGAACACGGAGTCGTGTAAATGAGGGTGCTGCACTCAGGGCTTCCCGATCCGGCAGACATCACATCAGTGACAGTCCAGGGCCTACCCACCAAGCCTGACAGGAAGCCGGTCGAGGAATGGGAGAATGCATTCTTTTTAGCTCATGGTACTAGCGACAAAGAAAATAACTGGAAAAATGCATCAGTTTGTTGCTTAATCCACAACTCGGTTAGCCAGGGAAAGGATTTGCCTCCCTTTAAGACGGGAGAGTGGCAAACTAGGGAGGATTGAGTACAGAGAACTGGAAGGTGAATGACGCAGGCTTGTAGTAAAGCACACGTAAGCCTTATTCAGTGTGAAGACATTTCAAAGTGTCAGGCAGTGTCTGCTCTGACCAGTGGTTCCCAACCTTAGCTGCACATTTAAATCACTCAAAGAGCTGACAAAAGTATTGACACCTGGGTCCCCAGCCAGGGGTCTGGCCTAATTGATTCGGGCCATGGTCTGAACATCAGGATTTTTTCAAGCCTCCTGAGTAATTCTGATGCGTGGCCATGATTGGGAAATAAGAGAAAAAGCTTTCACTGGATATGGTCTCTTCTGGTAAATGCATTTCAACTGAATGCTTTTTCTTATGCTCCGGTTCATCACTGACTGACAAAAAAGCTTCTTTACCAGGGCTACCACACTTAGGAGATGCCATCAGCTCTTCAGAGAAAAAAAGATTCTTTGTTGTTTTTTTAAGATTTTATTGGGGAATTGAGGAAGGGAAACAGCCAAGTTGTTGTCCTTCAGTCTTAGTTGTGGAAGGCGCAGCAAGCTCTGCTCCAAATCCAGTCGCCATCTGGCCGCCTTTCAGCAGCTCGCAGCTGCTCAGCTCATGGTGCCGTGTTCACTGTTAGTTGCGGGCGGGCATAGCCGCCATCACATGCGGGAGTCGAACCAGCAACCTTGTTGTTAGGAGCACAAGCTCTCACCAGCTTAGCCATCCTGCCACCTGTTCACAGCTCAGCAGCAGCTCAGCTCAGCTCAGGCACAGCTCACTGGCCCATGTGGGAATCGAACCGGCGACCCTGTTGCTCAGAGCTTGCGTTCTTAACCAACTCAGAGCCATTCAGCCGGACCTGAGAAAAAAGATTTTTAAACATCCTGTGGCTGGAGTGAGCTGTATGTTGTAGTCGCTGAGCCCTGTGCAAACCGGAGTGATCATGGAGGGTCCCGTGTTCTTGGCGAGCAGGCCTGCTTCCCTGACCACACCCATGGAGAAGCCATATTCAGGTCTACACGTCTGTCTTGTGCAGCAGTAATGGGGGACGGGGACACAGGGCCTGAAGTTTATAGGTGTGACTAATTGCCTGTTCATCAGCTTGACCTTGAATGTAAATCACAGAATTGTAGTAAAAGGTCAGGTGGTGTTACCCCAGTGTCCTGATCCAAAGCGCTTCTGCCCGGGCATTTACACAGTGAGCCGTCTGCAAAGGAGCACTGCCTGGAGGTCGGTTGGGCAGTATTCCCTCTCACGGCCGGCCGGCCACTGTGTGCAAGCGTTCTCAGCGCTCTGGGTCTGTAGTTGGAGGGGGTTTGGTTTGTTTTTTGCCAGGTTATCTCTGGCAGTTTAGTTGTCAGGGAGCCCTGCTGCTAGGTAGCTAGAAGCAGGTGAGGCTGGGCTTACTACTGGGAGAACTTGACCTGCGCTCCCTGGACTCTGGGACTGTGACGATGGGGACCTGTGTGTCTGAGGGAGGAAAGCTGGCCGGGCTGCCTGGGCATCAGAGGGGGAAGCCGCCATTGCTGCCAGGGCCCACGGTGGGCGGGGAGGTGCGTGCCTCCTCAGGGCCCACAGTGGGTGACCAGGCCCTGGCCATTACGAGGGGCCTTGTTGAGCAGGACGTCCTCCAGGGCACGGGCACTTCAGCCAAAAGTCAGGTGTGCCATGGCCAGGAGTGTAAGTCGCCCAGTCCTCCCGAGACTCACGTTGCCCCCCTGCAGCCATTTCTGTTGTCCTTGCTCAAAGCACTTACATCTGCATTTTCACGGTGCTGGGGATCCTTCTTACCAAAATAGTTGTCAGTGTCCATTTGAACAACGAAGGGCCCTAGTTCCTGGCTCTGGGAACTTCCAAGTGGGGAGATGGTGGTGGAGGATGACTGGCCCGCCCCCATGCCCACGTGGAGTCCCCGGGATCAGGCAGCTTCCCTTCGGGGTTATTTCCTGTATTTCAGTCTGCTCCCGCTCGCCTCGCGGTGGGGTGGTGTCTGTCTCTAACTTAGAGGCAAATTACTTTATCTGAAGAAGTTTCTTTAGAGCTCTAAAAACTTGGGTTTTGCCTACTTTGATATGGGAGGGGAGAAGAGAACCGATGGGAAGGATGGAAATGAGAAATGGGATTAATTTAAACCAGGTGCCACTCCCCTCCCCTCATATACGCAAGTAACAGGCATCTGTGTTCACACATGCACTCTCGTGACCACTGGAGGTCACTGTCCCCACTGGCCCTGCCCAACAGTAGGGCTGCCTGGGCTTGAAGGCTCCACAGGCCGTTCAGAGCCACCCCCCACCCACACCCCCAGTGGCCTCGGATGCCTCTTCAGCCCCTGGTAGCCATACCCAGAGGGCAGCATTGCTCATGAGGTCGGGGTGGGGCTCTGGCCTGAAGTCCTGCCTTCGTCAGCACAACAGGGTCAACTTGGAGAGAAAAATACTAACCTGGATCCCTACAGAAGTCCTATTTTTCCCCTCAAGTTTTGGCTCCGAGAGACTTGTGAAGCAACACGTATTGTCCCTTTTAAAGCTGTGGTAACCAATGCTCACTAATGCTTATGTGGGGTCCATGTGCCACCTTTTTTCAATACCAAAAACGACTTCATGTCTGTTACAGAACGTGACCTGGGAAGGGCATTCCAGGTGTAACAGCAAGCCTGAAATAACTGGGTCCATCTGCCCTTGGTCAGCACCCTTGGCCAGTCCGAGGAGACCTGTGCTTGGGCGGAAGTCAGCTGGGGTCAGCCCTCCAGGCCTGCTCTTCGCGTAGCTTTCTCTTCTCTCCTTGTCTCCTGCCCACCAAGTGGAGCTGGCAGCACCTGGGCCTCTCAGCCGCCCATGCATCAGCTCACATATGGGGCTTTACAGACAAAGCAAAATAAACCCCACTCAAGTCCAGGCTTTGTCCAGGTCCCGGAACCAGCTTCTGTGGGTGAGGGGGACACCAAGCCAGGCACATGCATTTAACAAAACAGAGACTTGACGGGCAGTCAGCGCTGAGAACTGCTGGTTGGCAAGGTGTGAAACCTGGAAGATAAATCAGCGAAGGACAGTTAAAATAATTGGAGTTTACTGATTTCATGAAAAATATGTATTCAGCTACCCAGGAAGAGGCCGAACCTTGAAGATAACTTTGCCACTCAGCTCCAATGTCACTCTGCCTCTACCCAAAAGGTAGAGAAATGAGTAGATGCTGTGTTACTGATGCCAGTCCCAAAGCTAGTTCCACAGTTGGGACCTGAGTCGCCATGAACTATGGTTAGGGAAGTGATGAGTTTCAGCTCCTGATGGGTGAGTACTCGAATAGGCCACTAGGGGGCGATATTGCTAGCCCTTAACTCCACTGTCAGATTTATTAACGAATTTTTTTTTTG